GACCCTGTCAAACGAGAACTTTGGAGCCGGTGTTGTGGCGGACATGATGCGCTCTTCTTCACCATCGCAGCCTCGGCCTTGGAGGCCCCGGTGGGCAGTGTCCGCCACCTTGTGTTTAGCACCGATATTGCATGGGTCAATGGCGCAGCAACACGAAACAAGCTTTGTCTCGAGAAATGAATCGAGGACCGCGTCCGAGAGCGGGCCGCCCGTTACGCGTCCCTCCGAATCATCCGGCCTGGACCTCGCCCGCTCCGAAGGTTTTCCATGGGGTCGAGGTCTGGGGACTGAGATGGCCACGGGGAGGAGCTTGATTCTGTCTCCCATTTTCAGGATGCTTCCACGGCAATTAACATTCGTTTCACACACATAGTAACCGCAGGTGCCAAGAATTATGGCGGCCACTTTAATTTGGATTATTCGGATCATTTTTGATGACTTCTGTTGGACCACAAAAATAAAACAATGGCTGACTTTTGTTCGTTATTTGTGGGTGTGTTTGTGATGGAGTAACACTTCCAAGTTCTTTCAGAGAGTCCGTCTGTGTACATGAAGCAAAACAAAACCCCCCAAAAAAATTAAGCGCAAAACGGTCCACCCAATTGTTAAATTAGCAAGGCACGTTTATTTACATGACAAAATTCACACCAGTCAAATCAATTGAACACGTCTCAAAATACAGCAAGCCAAAACAATTAAAATCAATGCGATTAAAGCATAACAAACACGAGAACACAGCTCAATACAAGACATTGCGAATGAGCAACGTTTTTTTCCCCTTCCAGTACAAACAGAAAATCTTGAATTCAGCAACACGAAACAAGCTTTGTCTCGAGAAACGAACAGAGGACCGCGTCCGAGAGCGGGCCGTCCGTTACGCGTCCTTCGGAATCATCCGGCCTGGACCTGGCCCCCTCCTCTCCTCTTCCAAAGGTTTTCGATGGGGTCGAGGTCTGGGGACTGTGATGGCCACGGGGAGGAGCTTGATTCTGTCTCCCATTTTCAGGATGCTTCCACGGCAATTAACATTCGTTTCACGGCTTTTCACACATAGTAACCGCAGGTGCCAAGAATTATGGAGGCACTTTCTTCATTTGGATTATTCGGATCATTTTTGCTGACTTCTGTTGGACCACAAAAACAAAACAATGCCTGACTTTTGTTCGTTATTTGTTGGTGTGTTTGTGATGGTGTAACACTTCAAGTTCTTTCAGAGAGTCCGTCTGTGTACATGAAGCAAAACAAACCCCAAAAAAAAAAATTTAAGCGCAAAACGGTCCACCCAATTGTTAAATTAGCAAGGCACGTTTATTTACATGACAAAATTCACACCAGTCAAATCAATTGAACACGTCTCAAAATACAGCAAGCCAAAACAATTAAAATCAATACGATAAAAGCATAACAAACACGAGAACACAGCTCAATACAAGACATTGCGAATGAGCAACGTTTTTTTCCCCTTCCAGTACAAACAGAAAATCTTGAATTCAACTTCCTGCAATGCAGACATTCGACGGTGACGACGACGACAACAAGACAACAAAGTCACTTGCCGCTCGCGTTTCTCATCTCAAGGCGGCAAAGCGACCTACGTCGGAGCAGACGAGCTGCAAGAAGTGGCCGGGGAGAGGGAAGTCTGGGCTTCCCCGCTCGAGCTGCTGAGCCCGCATTGAATGAGTCAATGGACCCAGAAGAAACTCGAGTACGAGGTTAAACGAAAGACAAACAGTTTCTCACACGGGGGTGGGGAAACATCGAAACGAGGTGGAAAATGTTTGCGTCACGTTTGATACTTGTAGCACTTTCTTTACGGACGGGTACCTTTGTTTGGTGCATTCTTGGCTAGCGGTGGTTCCGGCACATCCGCCTCTTCCGGAGAGCTGGAGAGGGAGATGAAGGACGGCAGCGCCAGAGAGCTCGCGGCGGGCGTGTCCGGCGCGTCCCGAGAGCCTCGCGCGAGGACCGCCGACAGGCGCGGCCTGGCCAAAACAAACCCGCCCACGTTAGTATTTTGCGCTTTTCCTCATCCGAGCAAGCGTGTCCATCGCCGACCTCTCGGGGGGTTGAGGGTTGGGGGCGCTCGCGCTCCGTTTGGCACGCTGGCGGTGCTGCAACTTGCAGCGAGCTCCGTGAGGGCAGGAACCCGTCTTGGAGAAGTCCGGACACACCAGAGTGTGTTTCTTCTTACACTGGTGGGGCAACAAACACACTGTTACATGCCGCCTCATCCTCAGAATGTGTGCCTGTGAGCAAAATCTTTCAGGAGTTGAGCATTTTGGACACGGGAGCAACGACTTTTTCGACTCATGCTGCCAACATGACACACAGAGCCTTTTTGTCAAGTGACTTCCATCGAGAAAATGCAGAGAAGGGCGGCGGTTTAACAAGTCACGGAAAAGGGGCTCATTGTCTAGTTGTTTCAATTGCTACTCCCCCCCCCCCGCGTCAAGCTCAGGCTTGCGCAAGTCACGTTTGAAAAAACGTCACGCAATCGTCCGTCGCCAACCCTTGTGAGAGTCGCCGCGCTCGAGCGCACGTTGAGCAAGCGATGACCGTGAGCTCCGCAAAGCGTGCGCAAGAGTGTAAATTGGATGCTTCATTCTCTGCGAGATCTGATCCCTCCCACCTGTCGGAGAAGCTAATTATATTCGCTCGGCGGAGCCGGCTCCCGGCAGAGCGTTCCCGCGCGCGGAGCGGCGAGGCGAGGCGTGCGGGCCCTGCGAGCAGAATAGCCCCGAAATAGAGCCAAGAGAATGTTGACGTGAGTGCGAGCGGAGGGGAGAAGGATCCCTCAGATTGATTTTCCAGGAAGGCGCAGGACAGGAGTCTTGCTCCTCTCACCCCCCAAACCCAAGCGAGGCCCCAAGCGCGACGGCGCGATTCCCTTCCCACGGCGCCCTCGGCTGCCACGGATGCTCGGGCGTTGACGCCGCAAGTTGTGACAAATCGCACGGACGTTCAAACCGAATGACACTGCGAATACACGGCTGGCACTCCTTCTTGTTTTGGGGCCGCGCGTTTGAAACCAAACGCCAGACCAAAGAGTCGAGTTGCTCGACTCCCCTCGCTTGACCTCCATTTCCGTAAAAATGGAGAGACAAAGTCCACGTGCCAGACAAAATCCAAATGAAGAGTGACGTGATGCGAGGAGCCGCTCGAAGCCCTCCGACGCCGCGCCCCGTGTACCCTTTCTCAGCGGTGTTCACTTCTCTAATGACCGCCTGCGATCCATCACGGCCCCGCCGCGCGCACGCACGTCGACGGCCCAAAACACAGACACCGTTCGGTACATCCACCGAGACCAGAAAAACAAACTCCATCTTGATCAATATTCAATGTTGTCAGCTTTTTTGAAGATCCTGATAACGTATCTGGTTTTGTGTGTGCGTGTGTGTGGTCAGCATTTGGAATATGTGCTTTACAAAGTGGATATTCTGGACAGAAGAAGTGAGCACGTGCGCAAGGCTCAGAAACTTTCAAGAAGCACCGCCACCTGGGCGGAGCTAGCAAAACGGCTAAAATCAGCAACACTCCACCCACGCGACACCGCCCAAGATTAGCAAAAGAAGTCACAAATACTTCAAATGTTGCATCGACAGTCCAGCGCTAATGTGTCCGTCAACAAATAAGAACAATGGATTCTCCCCCATAATGCTTTTCTTGTCTTTTGTTTAGCCCCCCCCCCAGTCTCTGGCCTATCCTCCCCAAATCGCCCCCACCCTCCATTTCCGTGCAAAATTT